ATTTAATCCAACGAGGGAATACAATTTGTATTTAAATACAAAGTTTATATATGTATTTTTCAATAGAATAAAAGATTTAATCACAAAGAATTACAGAGGTAACAGTACAAAATAAAAATATTTTATTAAAATACATAAATTTTTCTTGTAAAAAAACTTGGCGCTGCTAGACCTCGAAATTTTAAATAAATAAGGACAACAATAAATAAAAATAATTCAGAGAAAAATGCGATGAGAGTAATATTAAATGATTATCAGCGTGGATGTGCGAGTACTCAATATGGGTGTGCGTGACGACGCGGACGGCGGATAATGCGGCTTATAATTAAGTATAGGATAAGTTTATTTATTTATTTAAAATTTTGACACTGATAATAACACAGTTCTTTTCATATATAAATTACGAAAATGAAACATACCCAATTCCAAGTAGTTTTTAAATGTAATAAGGCTGAGGAGCACTTCACCTTGTACGTTGACCGTTGGAAAAATCACAATTCTTTCTCTTTCGAATTTTAGCGCAGTTAAGGGCTGCGCACAATGAAAGGAATAGGGAACAGGGAACAGGGAATAGAGAACAGTTCAATATTAATATATGAATTTCATTAACATATGTGATTTATTAACACAGAATAGACGAACAGAGGAATAGTGCTAAGGAACAGTAATGAAATTTTATTCTATATTTTATATGCTATGTACCTACCTAGATACACAATGCATATATTAAGAGGGTAGTACAGTCTGGCGGCCGAAAATGAGGGTCAATTTCAGGATTTATTTGTGACAAAGTGTTAGGCCAATCAGGTTCATGGTGTATACGATATTGAAGTACATGTTTAGGTGCATTTACAGTATTTTTTATATGGAAAAATATTAAGAAATGTAGGAGTTATGAGTCATCTCTTCGCGCGCGCGCGCTCGACTACGGTGTGCATATAGTAGCTCCTGTACGGCGTGCCTGAAATGAAAAACGCAAAAAGGGTATTAAATTTAAATGTAGGTATTCCCCACAGAGTGACGTTCGAAAATTGTAAAAATGTTAAAAATTGTGAAAGTTTATAGCATTGCACTTAACAAAAAGAAGTTCATTTTATGCCAATGAACTTCTTTTTGTTAAGTGTTATAATTTTCACAATTTTTAACATTTTTACAATTTTCGAACGTCACTCTGTGGGGAATACATTTAAATTTAATACCCTTTTTGCATTTTTTATTTCAGGCACGCTGTACAGGAGCTACCATGCACACCGTAGTCAAGCGCGCGCGCGAAGAGATAACTCATAACTCCTACATTTCTTAATATTTTTTTATATAAAAAATACTGTAAATGCACCTAATCATGTACTTCAATATCGTATACACCATGAACCTGATTGACCTAACACTTGGTCACAAATAAATCCTGAAATTGACCCTCATTTTTGGCCGCCAGACTGTACTACCCCCTTAATATTAAGCTGTTCCTCTATTCCCTGTTCCCTGTTCCCTATTTCTTTTCTTGTGTGCAGCCCTTAAGGCCCCTGGATACTCTCGGAAAATACAGCGGTCAAGTGGCACGATACCTACTACTGGAGGAAGCTTTGTAGCTTGATACAGAGCTGGTAGTTTTAAGCCGCAAGTCACTCGAGAGTCGTCTGGTGGGGGAAATGCACACAAGAGAAAGCACGTACTTGTGCACGCAGATACGTTCTTTCTCTTGTGTGCGTGTGCTCCACCAGTTGACTCTCGAGTGGCTCGCGGCGGGAAACAGTGGACAATTGTCTTGCGGAAGATCTTATTGGTAAAATAACTTATTAATTGTACTAAAAATTGTGCATTATTGAGGTTCAGTTTGTCAATGTTATGTCAATGTGCTGTCCATTGCCTTAAATAATAATCCAATAAAATGTCATAAACCATTTTCCAGAACAGTGCTACGCCGACCGCATAAGCTGTCAATTTTTCATTACATTGTTACTACACTTTTTATATTATAGGACCAGCAAATTAATGAGCAGTTAAACATACAATATGTTTTTATCTTTCATTTGAGCGCTTATATTTAATCGTGCGGTGACTCCTTCTTATTTAAGATCTTCCGTAAGAATTGTCCATATTTCGTCTCTTGATTCAAGATGGCTGACATGGATATCCAAGGCCCTTAAAAGTATCAAGGTAAAGTCATCGAAAAATGAATCCTTTATGAGATATTTTATATTTTATAAAATAAAATATGACAAAATTTTTGAAATATCTCAGAACATTCTTGACGAAAGAGAGCTTTATTATAGCGTTTCAATATCAGCTTCAATATCAGCTACAAGAATACGTGATAAAGAATAGGGGGTTCTATTTGGAAAAATAAAGTCTACCTTGAAATAGTGCTTTAACCTTGACCCAAGGTCAAACAAAGGTCATCTTCAAATGATCCTCACAACACTGAACAACTCTTGTCTAAAAAGTTTCCTTCTTAAACTTACGATTTTTGAAATTTGAGTGAATTAATTAAAATGAATTATTTTGTATATTGTTACACATATAACAATACAGCTATTTCTTACATGATAATATTGAGGCAAACTTTGGTATATTTAAGCGATACATAAGGAGCACAACCATTTCAATTACCAACTTTCTTTGTTAGTAACATTTTCATTATTATTCTGGAACATGACCTTTACAACACATTCAAATATATATATATATATGTATATATATATATATATATATATATATATATAATATATATATATGGAGCATTTCCACGCCAATTCGCGAAGGGTCGAACCTCGACCTTTTTATTTTTGATGGCGGCTTGTTTTTTAGCAGGTCTTTACATACTATACCCATGTAAGAGCGTTTCTATAATGAATGTAGCGTTTCCGAAATAGAGCCTGCGCAAAATGAGGACTGCAAGATTTTCAATAAATTTTTTCGCCTATTAGACAACGTCTAAGAAAAAAATTTATTTAACATAAAATAACGCTATTTTGATCATATTTAAAAAAAAATTACTCAAAATTTTTATAATAATATTGTTAAACAAATAAAATAAAAAAACACAACAAATTTGAATATCTCAAAAATTCCATTTTCTATTTTTTTGAAATTTATAAGGAATATTCTGGAGAGTATTAGAAAAATTTTAAGACCGGTCCGCGAAGTTGCGCTATTTCATGTTAAAGTAGACGTAGAGCTACGTCAACTTTTGCTGAATAATAGTGACAACTCAAGAGGGTGATCTTGACAACATACTAAAATATCAAGGTCATCCAAGGTGACCCCCTCCATGTGCACAATTACCAAATTAATCAAACATATTTTATATTTTAATGTAATAGATATTAATATTTTTTATTATGGTAGGTATTAATCAGAATAGCTTGCATAAAATTCTTGGTGGTACATGTTGTCCCACAACTACCATAATTTCAGGGTAAATTTTAAGAGAAAATTCTCTCCGTGCATGGTACCTCTGTCTGCCTTACAAAAATATTTATAAAAAATTCCCAAATTTTCTGCGCAACTTCGGACCGGTCTTAAAATTTTTTCAATACTTCCCAGAATATTCCTTATAAATTTCAAAAAATAGAAAATGGGATTTTTGAGATATTCAAATTTTTTTGTGTTTTTTTATTCTATTTGTTTAACAATATTATTATAAGAATTTTGAGTAATTTTTTTTAAAAATATGATCAAAATAGCGTTATTTTATGTTGAATGAATTTTTTTTAGACGTTGTCTAATAAGCGAAAAAATTCATTAAAAATCTTGCAGTCCTTATTTTGCGCAGGCTCTATTATTATAATATGCTGTTACATGTTGCACAGAATGCAACAATAGATTTAATTCATATACTAATTACAAATTTTTTTCATTGTCCTAATAGTGTACTATGCTGTTACACCAAGGGCAAATGTTCATGGTGGAATCAACAAATAGAACCTATTTGTTTAGCAGAAACCCCGCTATCGCATATTAGGAGCTTATCTCATAATAAAGGACTTTTCTCTACTGGCAATGAATATCGGAATGTAGTATAGTGTTACTTACAATTAGTGTGACATTGTATGTTGCACTCTGATGGTTCTTCCCCACAAGCGCGTGGATTATGATCGTTTTTCCTTCAGCACGGTACATCTCTCGGTCTTATTTTCAATAAATTGTAACTATTCTTAATTAAAACAGATAAAAATTATGAAAGTTATTTAAAAGATTGCATGATCAGATCAATTTCGACAAAAAGTGGACTTTGGTAGTTTCTCTCCTGTACCCTTCACGTATAACATAT